GTCGCTTGATAACTGGCTTCCATAGCGACTCCATACCCTATATTCGCTGCCGTTGATTTTTACATACACAGACAGGGTCTCGATTGAACTGCCATACATAGAGTAGAAAAACTCCATCCTCTGGGGTCCTGTCTTCCAGGGACTGTTCAGCCTGGCTTTCTCACTATACATACGTGGAGATGACGTTTCGATGTAGATATATGCTTCTGTATCTTTGAAAAAAAAAAAGGACATTTTCCCATCGGCAAGTAAATACTTATATTCTAATTCAAAGGGGATTTCGAGGGAGTTTTCCAATATCATTACTCAAAACATCACTCTACTTTGGAGAGTAGTCATTTAAATGGTTCATTTGATCACATATTTAGCCAAAATGACTTGCGTTCCAGTGGTCTCGACCGATTATTATCGCAGATTTCTATATATCATATCGCACCCTTAATCGATATCAGTCACTCCGCTGCGGGAATGAGACACTTTTTGATGAGAAAACAAAATTTCTGGATATTTCTTAGGGCCTGGGTTAGGGTAACTTTTTTTAAAATTGCAACGCTTTTGAAAACGGGAATATATATGTATATATATATGCATATTCTTCATGCGATCACAGTATATGAAAGGATTTATCCATCTACCTGTTCGACTTTTGGGAGAACTTCCTTGGCGAAGAGACCAATCAAAATGGTCGGTGTATCTTTCGTTATACCAGCTACAGAACGTATTCTCGTCGAAGGTACATTTTCCTGGAATGAAAATAGAGACCCAGGATGTAGAAACTAATTTTGGATTTTACGTAAAGCAAACACACCTACACAGCACATCCCAATCAGTCACTTTTGGACAAATTGGCTTTTTAATTCCCTCTTAAATTTGTAAATGTCGGTATGTCTTGTTTTCATAATAGCTTGTTGCCCCAAAAGCTGGTTGAAATGGAGGATGGTCGAATGAACCTCGAGAAACTGAAGACAATAGTTTTTACCCAAATAGAGACTGAAAATTAAAGTACAGTGTAAGGTTAATTCTGGTTAATTGAGTGTTAGGGTGTCCGTCGCTCGGTGACTTTGAGTTAAGAGATGTTAGATGGAATGGCCAGGTGTTTAAAGTTCAAATCGGAAAAGAAGACAGCTGCACAAGCTAACTAATCTCAAAATGACTTACTGCAAATTGGTGAAAAGAGAACAAATCTCAAATGTACATTAAGTCTAGCAGAAATCTGATGATTTTGAAAATTTTCTCATCTTGTTTTGTAAATATTCCTGCATTTATGTAGTCGAAGATCTCCAAAAAATTCCTAAAAATTAATTCTACAAATCTATCAAGTCTAAGTGGCAAACAGAGCAACCTAGGAAAATTAAGTTTGTTTTCCATATTACATTTGTGAAGTAGAAAAGCA